TAAAGTTACGGTTATTTCTGTCGTTAAATAAACTGAGCTTTGCCATGAATTAATCTTTTAAGCAACTTTTTTTTTCAGGGGCGAAAAAAAATAGTGTTACAGAATTATTTATTCCTCTTCAGTATTTAACCTTCCATATATAGATAGTTCTAGTAACCCCTATTTTTTAATTTTTGCTTAAGTCTCAAAAAACTAACTTGTGTGAGGAAAGGAAACCCACTGCCCTCCTAAATTCTGTCAGAACACGGCAATGGGAGAGCACAACGTTACCAAAAGACAGTGCATATTTATGCTGAAATGGGGGCATCCCCTCAGCCCTCCCCGCCCAGCTGCAGCCATTTTAGCTTGCCTGGGATGTTGTTGCTCCTGGCTTGGGGTGGCAGTGCCGTACGGAAACGGGAAGCGGGCAGCGTCCGGCGTTTCCATCGTGGCTGCTGCCCTGGGATGAATATTTGAGCAGGGGTTGTGGCATGGGAGCTGTCCTCCAGTGCCGCCCTCCTGGCCGCTGGGCGAGCTGTGCGGCCTCTGCCTTGCCCTTTGCTGCGAGAGAAACTGTAAGGCAACGTCGATGTTGCAAAGGCCAAGCGCTTTTTGTGGTTCATCCCCATTCCTAGGGGAAATGCCAGGAACGTTTTAGCGTATTAACTCTTCTGCGAGCCCGTAGAGGTAACCAAGCCAAGTGGGAAGTACATCATTAAATAAACCCAGGAGTTTTAAAAGGCTGAGTGCTGAAGGAGCAATGTGGCTGGCCGTTGAACAACTGTTCAATAGGGAGGCAACTACAGGCGAGAAAGTGATGCGTGGGTGATTTTCAATTTTACATCGAGGAGCCAGTCCTGCAGCTGCTGCTGCCAGGCGGCGGGAAGGCGGCACCTCGCAAGCAGTTCCTGAGCGAGACCCGTCCTCATGCAGAAGGGTTCCTGCTCTGCAGGCGAGGGGCTGCGGCTCACTCTCACCGCCCTCAGGCACAGGGCGTGCAGGTCCCGCCCGGATTTGGAGGTCCTTTTTGGAAAGCAACACTTTGTCTTGCACCCCTATGAAAGTTTTATCCTGAGGGCAGCGTTTCTTGTCTTAGGTAAAGCGCTCTGCCTTACAGGTGGTAATGTCAGTATTCACTTACTCGGTGCTTTTAGATGTGTAGTAGCCCAGCCTCCTCTTCTCACAGCCTTAAATTTTACGTGTGAACATGGCTGCGTTAAACAAGCATCTGAGTAACAGAAATAAAGCACAGCCTCAGATACTTGCTAGTTTCGGAATTACTCTTCACGCTACGCTGCTGTATTTGGTGCCTGCAATTCTACATGGCGGAGGCTGGTGTAGTATGAACGAGAAAGGCTACCACAGTTACCCTTCTTTCACAAAAGCAAAGGCAGAATTCTGATTTTATAACAAGCTACTGAGCATCAGCCAACACTTTATATGCAACTACGATGTTTACAAATTATGGAAAGCTGGGGGAGAAAAGGAGAGATAATGATGTTTTTATTATGACTTGCATTACCTTAAGTTAATACACTTGTACTGCAAGGAAAACATAAACGTAGGCTCATGATGTCAAGTTTCAGCAGAGGTCTTGCTACAGAACCACAAACGCTTCATTTGTGCATCCGCCTCATCAGGAAATCCAATCCCAAGAACCAAATTTTAAGAACGAAGTCACAAGATTCGCAAAGGTTTTTAAGATCTCGCTACGTGCCACTGAATCAAAAAATACACACTCCGATTGCTATCTGTGCCAGTCACTGCCGCCCTTACCCACCCTAGCCAGCCTGAAGGGCACTGGCACGCATGTACCTATACCACAAAAAGTGGAGCTGCGGAGTTTAAAGGTTTGCTTTGGTAACAAAATCTTGCTTGGCCTCCCATCGCTCCAGACTTTTAAACGAAGTTCATGAACAGAAATTTAAGACACTATACACAGAGTTCAAGTGTAACAGTTCATGTTTCATGCTTTTAATTCTATGGAGAACTATGCATCGATCCTGAGGCAATGGCTCCAAATTACTAAGCAGAAGTAGCTTTCCTAAGCAAGCACTACGTAGTTTTTAAGATGCCAATATATCAAAATCAGAGAACAGCAGGCGATCCCTTCGTTAATAAGCCCAGAAGAAATAAGGATGGTGTTAATAGGATAAAGTAAAAAGCAAGCTGTTAAATATCCAATTTTTATGGTGTTCTAGTGTCTCTTGGCAGACGAACTAGACAAATTATGGTGACTTTAGAACGTAACCTTCCCTTCTATAGCTTGAGGGCAGAACTACTCATTCCTCAATTTATAATTTTATACTGAATTACAAATTACCTCTTTTAGCAGAACACCTTTTAAGGCCTTGAAATTCTGCTGCTTCTCCAAACAGATTTATCTATCTTATCTTACGGCAGTCTAGAAAGAGTTCTAGTTACACCAGTGATTTCCAATAGTTTAAAACCTCCGTTTGCCTCAGAAGCTGCCATTTTCCCCAAAGCTGCCTTTCCCCCCAGCCCGAGTCTCCCCACGACGAGCGCTTTGGCACAGCCGCCCCAGCAGGCAGAACTCGGCACAAGCACGCGAGCTCCGACAAGGAGGTGCTCTGCGGATGGGGCAGACACAGAGATCGAGCGCGTCAGGCCCGAACGCCGCCGTGGCTGCTGCCGTGGCGGCCGTGTTAGGACGTGACAGCAGGCTTTGTCAAAGTTGGCTGAATGCTGTAATTGGGTCATCTATGACGTGGGAGCAAGCCCATGAAATTAAAATAGCATCCATCAGTCACCTCACAGACAGGCTGGTTGGGTATTTCTTCTTTCTGCTGCTAAAATGTGGATTCTGAGCATCCGGACAGTGCACCTCCCATGCTTTTAAAGGAATGAAATCAGGTGTCTAAGGGGCTACACCCAGGATTGCCCAAAACACTGCCACTAGCAGGTGACTGCGCTGGTTTTGTTGTTTGTTTTTTTGGTTGTATTTTTGTTTTTAAATTATTTTTATTTTAACATAGTTAGCATTAGATGAGTTTGGATCCATTCACAACCCAGCAGGCTCAGAAGCAGCCTAGCTGCAGGGTGGCACAGAAGGTTACTGGTTAACTACTTCTACCTTCACCTAATGTCTTGAAGGGTTTGCAAGCGGTTCAGGTGCTAAGTAAAGCTTTACTGCTAAGCAAGCACAAGCCTTCTGAGATAAAACTGCACCAGTTACGTGGCTAGGCATTTCAATCGCTGATAGGTCCGCACATCGTGCTATACTAAGCAGCTACAGGTCTCAGCATATCTCCTGGAAGCACTTAAGATGGCTCAATCAGGCAATCTGCCACGAGTTTTAGGATTCCCGAGTATTCTTAGAAAAAGAACAAAAAAATAACACACGCACCCCCAAGACTACCTTCACACAAAGATCATGACTGTTGTAACAAAAGCCTAGAACTTCAAGTGAAGTTCTAGCTGACATTTGCCTCAACAATACTTTTCAGATCAGTTCTTTCCTACAAGTGTCAGACATTAAACACCAGCAGACACCCCGGCAGCTACACGGTCAGGCTTGTTAGGCACTCAGTCCTGAGTGGATTTAGGCCATCCTGATCAATTTTCTTCCATGAAACACTGAGAAGGAACAAAACACACACATCAAGTGAGGCAGGATCTCTGCTCACCTTCAGCTGAGATCTAGAAGCTGCTGCAGTCTCTCACAAGGTCTAGGATTACACGTATTGACCACGGGAGCACGTATGATAAATATAACTTTTGCTCTCTCACTTGCATGGAAGGTATTTCCTAGCATGTCTGCTGTTCTGCCTAGCAATTTCCGAAAGGATTTTGAAGTAGCAGGAAATTCTGTTGAAATGGATGTCTACTTCAGCCAAAGATGTGGAAGACATTGCTGGTGTCAGGTTAACTAAAAAAAAGAACAGGTCTCAAAGTCATCCTCTTACTCTTACCCAAAGTTCCCTTTTGCTTTTTCCTAATACAAGTGACTGAGACAGCATCAAGTAACTACTAAGGAGCAAGATAAAAATAGTTATTCACTGTGAATTACCACTATCTTAACGGGATTTATTTCGACAAACATAACCACATGTGATAAAAGTAAGAGAAAAGTCAATGCTTCGTTTTGCCTTGCTTAGTTCCAGTAATGCCCAAATCAGTTTTGGAAGTCCTGAAAGTCAGTTTTGAAAGTGTGTTTTGTTTTGAATAAACCAAAGATTTCTGCTATGGAAAAAAAATAATGTATATGTTTTTATGTTACGTTTATAACAAGGCTTTTAAAGAAAATAGTTACAGGTATTCAACTGCATCAGACTTCAAAAGAAAAAAAGATTACACATACAATACAAAAATACAAAAAAATATTTTTTAGAACTTACAAACTCAAAAGTCTAAGTGGTCAGAGCTTTCCTAAAATAATAATTAAAAAAATACACTTCAAGATGCACTTTCCTTTCTGCACTTGCAGGTTCAACTTTAGCATGAAGAAAGGTTTTAGAGGCAGGATGAAAGCAATTAACACATTGAATTCTAATTTCAGCCTGGAACTGGTTGTCATTTAGTGGTCAACGCTATCAGGTATTTGAGTTTAAAAAGAACCTTTTGTTCATGGGGGGGAGGAGGGGGGATGTTGCTGTTGATAACTTTTTGTTTAACCAGTTCTGCTAGTAAAATGTTTTAAAAATATGCAATCTGAATTAGACTGAAATTTAGGCAGTCCTTACTAGGTTTGAAATCCTACAGCACTGGTCTGCAGTATGAAAGCTAGGAAATTAAACTGACCAGACTAACGTCATTCTTGACAATTACTGCAAAAGGCAGACAGGGAGGAAAAGGTAGAGTATTATTTCTGAAGTTGACAGTTGTTAGAAGCATTAGGACTGCAAATACAGTATTTTTCTTTAACCTGATAGCGTCCGCTGAGGTCACAGGCATCGAGGCATTTTGTTTTAAATGGCAAGACAGGGAAAGTGCATCTTTGATTTTTCATACTTAAGCAGTGAGTTACCGATTTTTGGTGTGGCTTTTATTCCTTCTAGGCATAGTAAAGAAAAATATTTCAACCAAATGTGAAGCTTAATGTACATTAGCTTGTCTTTTTGGTGGTGGCTTTTGTGTGCCACAAGAAAATGCTAACAAGCACTACTCAAGGCTAACGATTTAAGAGGAGCACACTGAAAATACTGATTTACCTGTGTAGTGAATATTCTTTACAGACTGTATCTAATATACAGACAAGGCCCATTTCCCGAGGATGAAACAGGCCACAGAAGGTTACACATCCTACATGACGTTTTAAACAAAATTAGAGCTAAGTTACCAGAGCCACTCAGAGCAACGTAATTCCTAGTTTGCAGAGACTTAACAAAGGTGACTGCAGGGAGAAAAAAAATCCAGGTTCTTATTATTTCCTGCATAAGTTTATATTCAAATTAATAGTCCAGTAACACTTCTAGCACAAGACAATGCTCACTTTCTTTAGCAGTATTCCTAGGAGTCAACTGTTTCTCCTGTTATGAAGAGGGAGCCAGAAGTGAGAATGCCAGAGCATTCAACGTTAACCTGATTAAAGAGACAGTAACCTTTTTCATCCACCTTAATTAATCACTGACAAAAAAAAATAAAATCTTAAAAAGGTACCACTCCAATTTCTTTATTATCTGTAACCTTTTGAAACTAATCACATGGAACTACAAAATTAGCAAATGCCTTGAAATCTGTATACAAAACATAAATTACCTCTAATTTCAAACTCAGTTATTAGTGTACCACTCAAAATCTTAAAAAAGTGGCTCCAAAGATAGTCTTATACCATTCTTAAAAAAGGAAACTGTTCCTTTAACGTTACACCCTCCCCTCCCCCCAAACACCCAACTCTCAATCCACATCATTTAGTTATTTTCTTGGTCGTGGACATTTCCAAGATGAGATTTTATATTTCGTTCCCATAGCTTCTGGTTGTCAGAAAAACCATGCTTTCCTTTATTGAAGGAATTTGGTCCTGCTGAGGTTGGTGTATCCCTGTGAAAAGTAAAACAAGATCAGTTGAGAAAGTCAGTTCAACTATAGTAGTTTGTGCAACATGACACTGAAAACACCAATTTCAAGTCCATCCTGCCGCCAGAAATTACCACACATTTCCTTCTTTCCATTACATCGGGAGTCCTCACTATTAGCAACTGTAAGTTAGCCAGATAATTGATCTCTCTGTAGCATGTCAAGACAGAGCGACGAGATGGGGCAGCAGAGGAGGTGGGAGTGGCAGCAACTGCTGCCAGCTGTGAAGAATTTGTTGCAAGGGCTACAAAAATGAGGATCCAAATTTGCTACTGGAGAAAAAAAACCCACTGAACAGTAGTGAGCCTCCAGAGGACTGACTGTAAAAGCAGTCTATCACGATAAACATCTTTAAAATATATATGCTCAAAAATCCATCCCTAACTTAAGTGAAGCCTCCTCTGAAAATGTTCCTATTTGTTTTAGGATTGGCCTAATACTCAAATTTGTGGCAAGCAGAAGAATTAGATAGATTTGTTTTATAAGTAAACAAGCTATTCTTTGTCCCTCTGGAGGAGATGATTCTCATCTTCCCCTTGTACGGGAGTTGAAAAATCTGAGCAAACTACCCTACTTCAGGGCAATTTATGAAATGGAGAACTAGAATAACACAAAGTTTAGCAGCAAGCAGGAACTCCCACCTATTATCCTTCCAAGAAGAAAGCTAGCTTCTATTTAATATAGACTCAATTTCTTCCTCAGAAAGAAAGAAGGCAGCAAATAAGATTCAAAGTGCAAATGTAAATGTACTATTTTTAGCATACAGCTGACACATGAGAAAATATTTATACTAACATTTTATTGATTCTGGAGAAAAACTTTTTGAACCTCATCTATCTTCTTATATTTCTAAACCATCTGCAAGATCTGACCTGTGCTCGAGAAGGCATTCTCACACACTCACCCTTCTCCAAACCATAGTTAAAAACTGACCTACCTTCCAATGTTCTTCATGCGCATCTTGGCTTCCGGGGGCATTTCTTCTGGTTCACTCTACAGAGAAAAAGGAGGTTAGAGTGTGGCTGGCCGCTATCTTTTGAACATTTCAAATGCCTGACAAGATAAAGTACGGACTACAGCCCTACAGGAAAGCAAAGTGACTTAGGACAAAACAGAGGTTCTACAAGGTTATAGAAAGTAATACAAATTCCTTTGTTCACCTCTGTGTAAGACGGAGCAGTAACGCAACAATAAAATATGCAGCAATCCAGAAGCAGCACAACTTTTCCTCACCTGCCCTTTATCAAGGCCAGAGAAAGCAACCAGTAATTCAAATTATGTTGTGCATCTCATTTTCAGGGAAAAGTTATCACACTTTAATGATTTCTTGAATCAACACGGAGCTACAAAGTTGTACAGTCTTAAATAGAAGCACAAGAGATGTTTCTAGGTTGAAAATCCCTGATATTTATGTAAAGAACCTTAAATGACCGACTCTCTCTGCCTAACTCTAACCCACAATGGTATCTTAAGCTATGTTGATCACTAGCTTATTACTCACGTCTTCATCTTCATTGAAAGCTGCTGCTACAGAAAGGGTTTTTGGAGCAAGGGTTGGAACAGGCTCTTTAGGCTTCTGAAAAAGACGAAATGCACAAGTAAAGTAAGTCTACTAACTCAAAGAAAGCTACCCTTGGTACTTTAAATATTTTGGTAAAATGAAATCAAACACCTTCACTGAAATGGGCAATGAGGGGGAAAAGTGTTTTTGTTTGAATCAAGCAGATAAAGGTTTCTCTCTAATGAAAAGAGAAAATGGCTGTTCATTTGTGCATGATATACTCTGAAAAGCAGGTTGAGCCCTCTCATATTACAATTCCCCACAAGCAAGTCTTGACTTTCTAGCAGACTGCAGGGGTACACAGCCACTGATGCATGACATGAACAATTAAATCAGAATCTGAACAAGTTGGGGTATTCAAAATTTTACTATGTCACTGTCTCCATTATTCTTTTGGAGTATCCTTATCCATCAATGCCAGAAACACGAATATGTTTATTTTCTTGTCTTTTAACAACATAACAGCTTTCTGGCTTAAAACAATTCAATACTTTTTAACCAGCATCATTGTGCATCACACAGTCTGATTAATATAAGGCTCCTTTAAAAAGTATTATTTTGATTTCCAATAAATACCTTCCTCTATTTAAAGTGTAAGAAGCTATCAAAGTCACAACTGTTACTGTAATACAGCAGAGATATCGAAAGCAGCTCCGAGATCACTAAGAAAGCATTGAGTCATCAGTAACCGTCTGCTTCTACAGTACTATCTATTATCTAAATCAATCATCTAAATCAATGGTATACAGTGCTTCCTCCATTTTGACTTTGTTGGTGATTATTTCATACACACTCATAGTTTTGAGGCTGCAGAGTCCTTACGCGACTGTCTACAGCTAATCCTCACCAATAGTGTGAGGTATAGTATAAACGTATAAATATTGTGCCAGTTTTTAAAGCATCAGCTCCACAGGAATGGGTAACATACTAAGGGAGTAAAAATGACTAAAAAGAAACAGGGTAAGTTTCAGCACTGTCCAATCTGGTGCACTGTCAGTCACCCACTAAATTCAGTGAGCCAGAAATCCTGAGCCAAATTTATTGCCACTGGAAGTATCTTTCTACATGAGAAATGGGAGCTTGCCAGTGGCTCAGAGAAGGCCGCTTTGTCAATTTTTCCAAAGTCTGAGTTGAGCTGATTGCATTTATACCCTAGAATGCCGTCAGCCCACATCACCCTCCCATCTCAAAATAACAGAGCACTCTTCATCTTTTGCAGATCTGTGAAATTCTGGCATTGCAGGTACAAGCCTTTCATAATTACAGTTTGAATTTAATCCAGACAAGGATTTATAATGTATCCATCCCAGTGGTAGGTGGGAAGTATAAATGAGCTGTATTAAATAGAGAGGCAGCATCTGGCTTGTCCTTGGCCAAGCTAGTAGGGGACTACTTTGGTAGCAAAGAGAAGCAGCCGATTCACATCCGAACAAGCACAAGGATACCCTGTACTGGACAATAAAGGGGATCAGAATTCTTAGGAACCTATGTAATGAAGCCTCATCTCTTGCATATAGTATGCGTGAGTCATACTGACCTTGCAAAGAACAGGCAAAGTCATTGAAAAATAAACTACAGTTCCCCATGCTAAAATAAGATCTTTGGACCGGAAGACGACGACCTATTAAGCCATCGAGGAGAGTACTTGCTTTCTTGTAGCTTTAAGCATCCTATGCAACAAAGCTCCCAGCACTCATTTCAAAGTAGCCGGAACAGTTTAACAAGTCTGCTCATTTCCCTCAGGAAATTATTCCAGACTTATCAAATCTCATTACAAAATTATTCCGTATGTTCATTTCAGTCAAGCTTTATGCTTCCTGAGACAACTGACCTGGTATTAATCACCTTGAAGTACTTACACATGCATGACCAGCTGGCCCTGCAATGCTGTCTTAAACTTTATCCAAGTTACCCACATGTAATTCAAAGCTTTTCCTTCTGCAAGGAAGCCTCCCCAAAGTACTTCCCCCTTTGCCTCACCTCCCTTAAAATTAAAAGCCCTCAGATAACTTACATTTGCTCCTAGTTTGATGGATATTGCAGATGCCTTCTTTGCTGTCTGACTGCCTATGGAAAATCCAAACTTGGACATTTTGGCAGGAGCAGGCTTTGTGGTGAAGTCTTCAGCTTCTTCATTAGCTGCCCGTTTCTCTGCGCTGCGGCTCGAACTTTCTCCTCCATTACTGGAAGAAACAGTCTTAGTTTTCACAGGTTTTTCTGCCTCTTCTTCAGGTCCTGGTGAAGTCGAAACAACTTACCAAGATGAGCTATTTTTACTGAGCAGATTGATGGGAGCAGCAACCTCAAAAAGCATTATACTTTGGGTGCAACAGGTAAGGTGTTTTTAGTGACAGCAGTTTCCACCAACGTACATTTAGTGGACAGCAAAACACAAAGAGGAGAAGAAACTGCAAGCACTCCACTACTTGTAAAGAACTTCTTGTGTATGAGCCAGGAAAACAATCTTGAAGCACCATCTCTTTATTTAGTATGGAAGTCAAAGTTCATGTAGTAAATTAAATGTAGATGACTAAATCTTTTTAGGGTTTAAGTTGCCATAGATAAGCTTTCATAATTGGAATCCCAATTCCAAATCTAGAGTAGATAATCTAAGTTAAAATTAATTCTACTAAATTTCTATAACAAACATGTCCATGCCAGTCTCTAGGCTTGTCTGGCACAACTCTAAAACCATGGAAGTGACTACAGTGAGGCCGGCTGTCTCAATCATGTTTCAAGTCACTGCTTGTCCGCATCTCATCTGTAATAAATCTGCCAAGCTCTGCTTGAGGAAGGAATCAGCACTAGAAAAACATATATATAGATTTCATCTTTTCTGGTTTTGTATAAAGTCATGGAAAACATAGCAGCTGCACAATGATCCACAGAGAAAAACACTCAAATCACATTTTCATTCCTATACACTCAGCTTCTTCAGCTACACCAAGAGACAAAAGTGTCCTTGGAAAACTCGTACTGAACATAGTAAGTCCTTTAGCAAAAATACATTTCTCTGCTGCTGCAATAAGCAAACCACTGCAGTAGCAGAAGGAAAAAAAAAAAACAAAACCAAAACCAAACACACATTGGGGAATGGACAGGAAAGTGCTCATACTATCAGCCCAAGAAAAACTGGAGCTAGGACCAGTTCCTCCTTATATCAACTGAGAACAGGACCCTCCACACACAGCAAATTCAGACCATCGGGGAGAAAGCTCTCTGCACTGCTCTCTTACAGGAAAAAGCTATTAAGTAAGACAGAGCAATGGGAGACAAGCTAGTCTGAACCAGGGGTCAACAAGATTGTAGCTCTGAGGAAAAAAAGGAAGCAAACAACATCAGGAGAAGGAAAAACTAGGGACACCATCTATATATATTTTTCTGCTATTTCCCAAATCATAAGCAGCAGAATATATCCTTTCTACCCCACTCTTCTAGCTATCAAGATAATAAGTAATTGGAACAAAAATGGATTTATTATTCACCTTTGGAAACATGTCAGATCGCAACAAAATTAATTAATAACTTTAATCAATTTCACTCTATTAAAAAAATGGTACTAGTCTGCACTACTAGAAATTTGACCCAGAAAGTACAGATATAAAAGTGACAAACAAAGGAAGAAAGAGAAACAAGCAAAATTTACACAAGTGACCTTGGGTACTGGTTGCTATCTTAGCACAGTTTTCCAAACAGCAGTCCGCAAGGCTATGAGAAGCTCTTTACAGCTAGTCCATGAAATCACATTAAACAGAGTATTCAGTTACAAGTCCAGTCTAGGTACGCTACAGACTGTGCGGTGATTCGAGGGTAGGCAGAAGATTCATTGGCTTGAAAGTGTTGGAACCGTGGGCCTAAAAGTCATCTTTTTCATAAGATACAAAATCCACAGCAGCCCAAATCTCAAGGCACGCTGGACTAGTCCAGGTTCCTAAGCTAATGCTAGCTTGAAGCTAATTACACTACAGTTAATTCTTTGACTGCAAATTCTAGAATATTGCTAGGCACAAGATAAAGCCTAACACAATCTACCCACATCTGTTTTTTCACCAAAATATTAAATAGCTTCTCTCTCAAAATTAGCTCCTCTCACCACTGCATTCTGAATGTTGCTTCTACTAGGCTCCACTTAGGAAGAAGAGCAGACTGCTGAAAGAAATAGCTTCCTTATAAAAACTCTTACTTGGTGAAGGAGCTATAAAGGGCACAGGACAAGTGGGGTAGGTAGGGAGGGAGCCATTGTGCTGTTCTATTTCTGCAGGAGACAGTTAGAAATGCAGACATATATTATCCATGAAACAGGTCTCTCCCATCTCCCATGCCAATGCATATGTATTTTTCAAGACATTAAGGCTTCTTTATTATTTCCTAGAGATCCCAAGGAGGTCATATTTCACCTATGGAAAGGACCAGTACTATTTCGAACACTAGTCTGACCAGTGCTCTTTTCATGAATCACAGTAATAAAAAGCTGTCCTGTTTCACAGATGAGTTTTTCTCAGGAGTATCAACAAGCTATGTAAGTGGAGAACTTTCACTGTCTAGGAGGTTTAAGTGACAAGACTGACAGTGCTAATTGCACAGCATTTCAGGATCTCTTGCCTCTGGGAGTGCGACCATTGGTGGTGGTGGGAACAAACCAGTCACAACTAAGTCAGTTTTAAGGTAAATGCCACTGATCTTGGCAAAAGCTAAAGACTCTAAATTGCTTTCAAAAATCACCAGTTATGAATACGGAAAAAAAAAAAAACCAAAACCCACCCAACAACAACAAAAAAAACCCACAACAAAACCCAAACAGATAATCAAGAGTCAAGGAACTACCTAAAATCAGCTATTACTGTTCACATTGTAGTGATTATCAGAAATAACATTCACTGTTGAGGCTATCCTAAGTGGTCTACAAGATTGATTTAATCTTTCAACAGATCAAAGAAATGCCCTCTGCCTACAGATATACTTAAACCAAAAAAAAAAAAACCAGGAAAGGGAGACTACATCTTTCCAAAGACACTGTCTTTTCAATTTTAAGTTAGGGGAAGAAAGAAGGAAAGAAACATGATTAAAAATTTTAGGAGAACTGATAATAAGCAGTACAGAAGATGGCAGGACTGTCCAGTCATAATATAGGTAACACAAAACCAAACAGAAAACTTGCAGATTGCTGCCAAGCAAAAAACCCAGGATGCTTAAAGCAGCACATAAGGAGTATTCACTGTACCCATTTTAAAAGGTGCCACAGCTGTTAAAAGCTAATCTTTAAGGCGTTGCCTTCATCCTTGCCAGCAGCAACAGCCAAATTTCTCTCAATACACGGCAGAACTATGCCGTATATTTTCTTACGGAGAGAGAAATAACGCATTTACGTGCACAAGGAGAAGCGGTTACATTCTTAAAAAAAGCTCCTGTAAGGCTGCGGCTGACTCTCAGGCGTGAGGACAGCGGGCCCAGACCTCGGCCTCTCCTCCAGCGCAGCCCCCTCAGGCCCGGGCCGCCCCCTCTCCCCACAGGGCCGGGCACGGCCCCTCACGGCCCCGCCCAGGCCTGCCCGGCCGGGGGCGG